AGCAGGTAGGAAGGTGCTGGCAAGCCTAACTTTCCCTGCATGCCGACATGCAGACCACACTGGGCAGGTATCTGTGCTCTGCCATGGCCTTGCACAAGCTGCTTTCAGCCATATCAGCATGGTGAAGGCATCTGCAGGCAGCCTATACCAGTGCCAGCCAGGTTAGAGCTGCTGCTGAGTGCCCTCAGCATCCCTGATCCCATCTTCCCCAGAGCCACGAGCAAAAGTGACTTCTGACAGTTGTCACTTGGCAGGAGGAGGCCAGCACATCTGGAGAAAGTTTCCTGTTAGCTTGTTTTCCTGTAACAGCCCCTGCTTTCAAAGATGGTCTTTATTTTGAGCCAGAAGGATCCGCTCAGCTGCATCTGGTGTGGCACAGCCCAGGCTGCAGAGGAGCCCTGTGATAGCTCATCCTCCAAAACCCTCCAAAACAGCAGGGCTGGGCTCTGTGCAGCACCACAGCTGACAGCAGAGAGCACAGCTCAGACCCTGCTAAAGTGGCTCTTCCATTACATGGTTGGCAGAGAATAAGAGGGGGTCGTTCACTTTTCCCAACCTTCAGTGATCCCAGAGTCCAGGTAGGAAGATTTGTCTGGGGTTATACTGACTGATTCTTGCAGCTCTGCAGAAGGAGGAGGTATCTGGGGGCATCTTTGTTAGTGATCACTGTCATTCATATTTGCTCTCCAGGCATGTCTTTCAAAGGGAAAAAGCAAAATATTTCTTTTCCACGTGGCGACATCTTTTCTCAAGCTGCACTGGCGATTTGCAGTGACCCTCCTGAGCTTCCCAGTGGCAGGGGAGTTTGCTTAAGATTGCTCCTGCTTTTGGTTTATCTTGTTCCCCAGGACAGGTGGAATTCCTGCTGGGAACCCCCTGCACTTGCAGGGACTGAAGGCACCTGAAACAGCAGTTGTTTGTGTGGCTGAGTCCCTGCACAGCTCATTGCAGCCCAGTGGCAGGATCTGGCCCTTGCTGTGGGGAAAGGGGCTGTGAAATAGAGCTCACTCTGTGTCCCGTCCCTACCCCAGTTCCAATTTCCCCCATCATCCAGCATAACTCGAGTAGCATCCAGGAGGAGGAGTTGCAAGGATGCCAGATGTTTGGCAGTGCCAGGTTGTGCTCTTAGAAGGGGTTTCTTCCCACGAGTGCTGTGGGTAGGAAAGGCTGTGTGACCACACCAGCTTCACCTTACAATAGCCAGGGAGGGTGGTCCTTTTATTGTGGGGAAGGCAGACTCATCTAGGCTGGATACAGCACCTGGGACAGGTGTCACACACATAGAGAGAGTGCATCCCTGCCTTGGGACAGAGGGGTGCCATCCTCATCCCCATACTGCCAGTGGAGCACTCCCTTCCCACTGCAGGAGCTGCACTGGACAGCAGGAGCTGTCAAGGAATGGGAAACAGAGCCACTGCCACCACAGGGGAGCCAGCAAACACATTTTCATGTGGGATGCAGAAAAGGAGGCATCTGATCCCCCCTTCTTCCCTGCACCTGCTTTCAACACACACCAGCCCCCAGCCCACCTGTCGGGGCAGAGGAGGGTGGGGTTCTCTTCCCTGCCTCCCTTCCCTATCCCCTTCCAAAGGCCATCTGGGCTTCAGACCTGCCCAAGCATCACCCTGCTTACCACCAATTGCTGCCTGGTCACCCTGCACCAGGAGCAGAGCCTGGGTGGGAACGGGGCCTTGGGAGCAGGATGAGGGGAGCTCATGGGGGATAATGGCTTCCCTAACTCCTGCTGTGCTGAGCACTGAGACAGGGACAGCAGTGTGGAAGGAGGGCAGGCATGGGTGTTGGAGTGTGTATGGCTGCTGTCCCCAGGCCCCCAGCCTGTGCAGGGGGGACCAGCATGGACGGGGGAAAGCCAAGTGGCATGCAGTCCTCCCCTCAGCCTGCCCTAAGAGTCTGTCTGCATCCCATCAATGTGGCGCTGGCCCTTGTGCTCATCCTGGCACTTGGGGCTGTGGGTGGGCACTCAGCAGCTCTGTAATCTTTCCAGGCAGGAATGTGGGGGTATGTGACCATGGCAGGGAATGGGATCCCAGCCCACGCTGTCCTCAGCAAGCTGTCATCTGAATTACTTAGATTCAAGGGCTTTTTTGCTTTTTTTCATTTCTCTCTCCTCTCTCTTTCTCTCCTCTCTCTCTGTCTTTTATTTTTCTTTCTTCTCTTTTTTTTTTTTTATTTTTTTGCAATGCTAATGGCTCTGCATTGCACTGGCTACTGATCCCTCATTAATCTGGGCAGCACTTCACAGCCAGTCAGAGTGACTTTTGGCAGGTGCACAAAGGCAGGCAGCGACACACAAACCCCCACCCTGGCCAAAAAAATTACCATGCACAGCCTTCCTCCAACTTTTGTCTCTGTGTGGCGACGACATGGATTAAGGAATTTCTCCCTCTGCCTTTGATGCTGTGTGTCCACCCGTCCCCCCACAGCCTCCTCAGTGTGTCTTCCCCCAGTTCTGTCTCTCTCTGTGCTTTCCCGTTTGTGGTGGCATTTCTGTGTTGGGTCATGGGCACCCACCCGGTGGCTTTCTCCCCACCATGACAAATGCTGGATGTATCCAGCAAATGTGGCTGCCCAGCTCAGAAGTTCTGCATCCAGAGGCTGTTTGTGTGGGAAGAGATGGATGATACCATCCATGCTTTCTCTCTTTAACTGCTGTGCAATGCAGAGCTTAGGGCAACATCCTCCCAGGTCCTACAAGGAAGGTGTGGGTCCTGGGGGGACATCCCCCTGCCCAGGCAAGGCACAGATTTAACCCCATGGTGCCTGTGACACCCCACCTACAAACACAGCTGCTGGTTGGTTGTGGGTGGGAAGAGGCAGGAACTGCTCCCAAGGAAAAGCTGGGAGGAATCTTGGGATGGGGAAAATGCTCCTGATGGGAAAGCAGCCTGGGCAGGTCACCAGGACCTTAGTAGGGCTGGCCTGCCTGCAGCCTGCTTGGTGCAGGTCCCAGGGAGGAGTCAGGGGTTCAGAGCATGCTGGAAGTCCTGGACAGAGTCATACATCAGCTGGATAAGCCCAGCATCCTTCAGACCCCTGTCCCCATTCTCCAATTCCAAGCCATACCCCAGCACTGAGCAAGTCAAGTCAGCAGGGCAGCTCATGCTGTGAGGTTTCATTTCATTTAATTATCGTTAGGAGTTAATTTAACTTGATTCCCTTGGCGTTGCCATCCACACTGGCGGGTGCCACCTAAGAGCCCCCAAGGTCTGGGTGGCACAGAGAGCCTCACTGTGCCACTACACTGCAGGGAGGTGCCCTGCCTAGCACACCAGATGATTCACAACCTGGTGGGTCCCCTGCCTACCCACCCCGAGGTGCCTGGGCTCCCGGTGGAGTCAATCCTGCATCCAGATGTGCTCCAGATGTGGGGCTCAGGTCAGGCGGCAGGAGCAGCTGGGATTGCAGAACCCAAGTGCTCTGATATGTTCTGGACAGAAGGCTGGAAGTGGGAATAGGAAAGGAAAGGCTTTCACTTGGAGCAAGAAAGCAAAAATGCCCCTCCTCCTGTTAGGAATTCCCCAGAGTGACAGTAAAAGCCTGGAGGGGGCTGCAGCTCTCATGCCAAAGGGATTGCATCTGTGCTGGGCTGTCACATGTGCTGCACAGAAGGGACTGGAGAAGGGCTAGTTCTTTCTCAGGGTGGGCTCCTGCCTTTGAGGTACTCCTGCAAGCTGTGGGGTGATGGCGCTGCCCATCTGGTGTGCACACATCCCTTGTGTGTGGACAGCCATGCTGCCAGGGCAGCCTCATCCCACAGGTGCCCAGGTACCTCCTGGGCACCCCAATGGTGCAGCCCTCCCTTCCTCCCCTCCTCCCTTTCTGACTAGGCAAAAGTTTGGATCTTCCTCCTGTCATTGAGCTGTTGGTGCTGCCCAGGACAGTGTGATTCTGTGCCTGACCTCCCTTCTCCTGGCTGGCTGGGGACGTGTGGAGGAGCCCACACGTGTAGCACCATGGAGCTGCCCCCACCCATGACGTGATGCTTGCCCTGCTCGAGCCCCTGGCTGGGCACAGTTGCTCACAGCTGGGCTGTGTCAGTCCCACACCACCCCTCATCCTGCAGCATCTTTATTAGGAATGTGTCTGGGCAAGAGATGCCCTGTGTGCCCCCCAAACCACGCACAGCAGCAGCACAGGGGGGTACTCAAGTGGGCAGCATGTTGGTTCCTTGGTCTCAGAGATGGGCTGGGGGGCAATATCCCACCCAGCCTCTCCAGATACTCCTGCCCTGGTGCCTTGGGTGCTGAGCCCTCCTCCTCTATCAGGCATGTGTGTTTGCTCACTGGGGTTGGTGCCATCAGGGTGCATTTCTGCTGAGCACCTGCATCCCTCTGTCCTGGAGCCAAGCTCCAGATGGATCAGAGATCCCTCGGAAGGTTAAATGGGGTTAAACCATTGCACTTTGCAGCACGAAGGACAGCAGGGTCTTCTACGGCTCAGACAGCAGTGACAATGGGGCAGAGCAGGGAATGGTTTCTAGGAAGAAACCATCGATCATAACTTGATACTTGTCCAAGGGCCCAGCTGGAGAGATGCAAGCCAAAACAACGGGATGCCAGCAGGCTGGCCAGCGGTGCTGCTGGTGGGGAAGCCTCCTCCCAGCACTGGCAGCGGTGCCCTGAAAGCGCGCTGCACATCGCAGCCACTGCCTGCAATATCCAGCTCCCAGCTCTGCCCTGGCGTGTCCGAGGAGCCCACACTCACATCTGCTAGTTTCTGGTGACCTCTAGAGGAAGCTGCTCCACTCTGACGCCGTGAGTTTGGGAGTGGAACCAGGTCTTTAAACCTTTAGTGGAGTTGCAGCTGGAGCATCTCCCTCCACTTCCCTCCCTGTCCTGGGTTTGTGCCTCTGCCCACAAAGCTTCAGTATTTCCAAAAGTTGTGCAAAAGCCTTGTTATCATCTTTTAGCCGAGCTAAATTGCCTTACACCTCCCAGGGACCCCTCTGACTGCCCTCCTGTCCCCTCTGCTGCCCTCAGGTCGAGCTGTCGGACGGGACATCACACACCATCACGGATGCTTACGCTGGCAAGGAATACATCATCCAGGTGGCAGCCAAAGACAACGACATCGGCACGTGGAGTGACTGGAGCGTGGCTGTTCATGCCACCCCCTGGACAGAGGAGCCCAAGCATCTCACCACGGAGGCCCAGATCACAGGTAAGAGCCTCCTCCCAGTACAAACAGGAGGAACACAGAACTCCGGGCTGAGGGATCTCCTCTTGCTCCATGCAAGTTTTGCCCACAGCAAAGAATAGCCTGCACTTTGCCCCCTCCTGTGGCCTTGTCAGCAGGTGCAACCATGGCCTGAAGGATGCTGACTCAGCTCATCTGGGTCCAGCATCCTTCTCACCGGGATACTTGGGGCAGGACAATGAGGCTAGCCATTGTATTATTGTTGTTGTTGTTGTTGTGGTTGTTGTTTTTGTTGTGGTTGTTGTGGTTGTTGTGGTTGTTGTTCCCTGGAGTGTTGTCTCCCTCCAGCCCTCCCTCCCCTCTCCAGTCCTACCCCCTCCACACCCCTGCCCCCTCACAATGGCTCAAAGGGATGCCAATTCAAAATAAAAGCCACCAAGTTAACACCAAGTCTCTGTTTCTAGGAAAGAGCTGGGACTCTGTCCAAATGGGTGTTATCTGTTTCCCAGAAAGGATGGAGCAGACCCTGCACTGGTTTCCTTGGCTTTTGTGCAGAAAAATCCCCCTTTTCAAAACAGCACCTGGTAGAGCACCTGGATATTCAGGCAGCAGCAGGGATTTACAGCCCCCACCACCATTCCCAGGTGGATAAAGCCCCACAAGGAGTGCAGGAGCACTTTGCAGCACCGCTACTGTCAGGGTTTTGGTTTTGCTTCCATTCCCACCTGTGTTGTGCTAAATACAAATGTCCTGTCAGTGTCACCTGCCCTGTGCAGGCACACGAGTGTCCCTCACACACCCATCCCTGTGTGCCTGCTGCAGCCAGGTAGGGCTGATGTGGGACACCCCAGCTCCAACGCTGAGCCCCGCTGTGACGCCTCAGTGGAGTCTGAGAGATGCTGAGACAAACTCTGTGGTCCCCAGCATCAGCCCAGACAGTCTGGCCTGGACATGCTGGGGCCATCTGGATGTGGCCAAAGCTGCCTCTGCCTGACTGCTCATCCAAGCACTCCCTGCAATCCTGCACCCTCTGCAGGCACAGACAATCCATCCGGTTCAGGACAAAGCAGGACAAACCTTGTGAGCCAGCCCAGCAGACACAGGCTGCTGTGTGTGGCGTGTCCTCTGGGTGAGGGATGCTCTCAGCTGAGCACTAGAGGCTCATTGTGACTTCCTAGCTAAGATTCCCACAGACCTGGTGCATGGAGTGGCTCAGCTGGTCGGGATGGGGATGAGAAGGATGCCCAGCTCAGCCTGATGGCAGAAACATCTCCAAGCAGTAGGTGCACCATCACAGCCAGGGAAATCTCATGGATCACACTATCCCTTGAATCATCCCAACCCTCTACCTCAGCCCTAGTGTGGTATAGCACTGAAAAGGGCAATTTGGAGCCAGGTCCAATCCACACCAGAGCAGGGCTGCTCCTCTGGGATGAATCCCAGGGCATCCCAGCCCTCCTCACCACCCACTCTCCTTTCTTGCAGAGACAACAAGCGCTAGCACCTCCTCTTTCATGGCACCACCCACAACCAAGATCTGTGACAAGGGGGCCGTGGTGGGCAGCGGGGCCATGGCAGTGTGTTGGACAGCTGGACTGGTCGTGGCTGCCTATAGTGTCCTCTTTATTTAGTGAGTATCTCCCAAGTCTGAGGCATGAGAGGCAGGAGGTGGGTGCTGGGATGGGGCAGGGATACAGGGATATGGGATATGGGGACCCTCAGGGTTCTAATGTGGGTGGGAAGGGGATGCTCTGGCCAGACTGTGGGGGAAGGGCATTGGGAACAAGTCATTTGGGTTTTTCTTGCAGTTCTGTAAATGCACCAAGTCTGACTGCTTTTCCAGATGGATATTTAGCTGGAGGTCTCAAAAATGGCTTTTGAAGCAAAGCTGGCAAAGTGGTCAGTCTTTGATGTCTTGTTCTCAGCAGCCCTCTCCCATCCTCTCTGCTGACATTTTTAAGAGGCAAAGAAGCCACATGGAAATCTAAGGCCTTTGCTTAATGATGAAAGAAAAATTGTCCGAGATCAAAAAATTCAGATTGCATCTCAAAAATGTCCTTAATTTGGCTTAGGATGGAGCTGGCAGCCTGGAGAGCCACAAAAAAGCTCCTCTCCTCTACAGACCAGGGCTGCTGTCTCATGGGTGTCACACCCAAATGCCCTTTCATATTACCCAAGGACAGGGATGGATCCTGGAATCAGCCACATGTTTTGGGAGATAAAGGATAAGCCACCCCTCCTTTGGTGCCCAGAGATAAGATCCTTGTGGGCAGGGGGTTCTTTGCTCCCCTCTGACAGTGTCATCTCATGTGTGACACCAGGAGTGGTGGGGGCATGCAGTTAGAGGAGGGTGGGCAGGGCGCAGCCCTGGGAGGAGGAGGAGGTGGAAATTTGGGTACCTGAGTGAATTTCTCCTGCGGAAAAAGCCGGGAAAAGGGGAAAAAGGAAATTCCGCTGGGTGTGTCCCACGGGTGGCTGAGCAGAGCCGAGCTCGGAGCGACCCCGTGACCCTTGTGCTCCCCGCTTGCAGATCTCCATCCGTCCATCCACCGCCGCCCAGCGCAGCCGCCTCCCCGCCGCCCCCGCCGCCCCCGCCCCGCTCCCGGGTCGAGTCTCTTCGCTCTTCGATTTTGCACACATTGAGGACGCACCACGCTTCTCGCCGCCACTCCGGAGGAGGACAGAGCTGCTGCCGTCCCCTGGGGGGCCGCAAAATCCCTCTGCCGGCCCGGAGCGAGGAGACAGACGCCCGTCCGTGCCCCTTTCCTCCGCCGAGGGGAGCGAGCCGAGGGTCCCGCTCATACAGCTAAACCCCCCCACGCCAAAGACGTGCCCGCCGCCCCCGCGGCCGCGCACCGAGAAAAGGGGATATGAAAACGGGGGGGTGGTGAGGGGAATGATGCTCCAAGCTGTTGTACCCCCTTATGGCAAAAGGGGGTCCCCCAAGGACTGGACTCGCTCCCCTGAGCTCTCCACCGCGTGGCGAGGCTGGAGGGGGGCACGGATTGGGGCGGGAAGGGGGGTCGGGTCTTGGTCCCCTCCGAGGGGGTGGTGGAGAGGGCACCTGGTGGCTTTCACAAGTGCGATGGGGAGCAGGGAGCTGGCGGGGTTTTAATGGGATAAAAAAAAAAAAAAAACAAAGGAAGTGAAACACCGGTAAAACCCCCCTGGCCCTTGCCGAGCGCCTGGGAGAGCTGTCCCTCCGCCTCCCCCTCCACAGCGCCCTGCAGGAGCCTTCGCCACCCCCAGCCCCGACCCAACATCACCCCCAAACTTTTAACCGTGTTGGATACAGGGAATCACCCCCATTGATGTCTTTGTCTCAACAAAAGCAGAATAGCTCTGCTGTTGCCTTTAGAGCTGGAGCCCTGCAGACCTGTGCCCCGCTGTCCCCCGCTGTCCCTGGCTGTCCCCAGCTGTCCCCATGCCTGCTCTGCTGTCCTCTCCTCCCATCCTGCCCGAAGCCCTGTTTTGTAAAGACACCTCCTCTTGGCCCTGCCTGGACCCAAGCGCAGTATTTAATACCATACGTCCTAGTATTCCCACTGTTGACATGCTGTATTTGAATTTTTTATAGATGTATATATATAAAAAAAAGAAAAATAATCAAAAAAAAAGTAATAGAGGGGATAAAACTAAGCTCACAGAGACAACGCACACGCACACACACACACACAGACACACACACACACACCAGGAGAGACTGTCTTCATTAAATGTTCATTTCATGATGACTGGCGGCTCTGGGTGTCATTTCCCTTCCATCTGGGGAGGGGGTTTTGGCTGCCTTCTTCCATGCCTGGTGCTGGCTGAGCTGGGGAAGACATGGGAACAGCATTGAGAGGACACACACGCACCCTGGAGCCTGCTCTGCTGTTTGAGACCGTAGCACCATCGTCCCCGAGAGGTGGGAGACCCAAAAACTGCCCTTCAGAACATCCTGAGAAGGTGCCCAGCCTGGGGACTCCTGGTGAGGGAAAGGAGATGGTTGTCACCACCCCATATGACACCTCTGCTGTGATGGGGAAGTGCCACATCTCCCCATTCATGAGCCCTGGAGAGTCCCCTGTGTCCCCAAGCTCTGGCTGCACCCTGACGTCCCTCGGGCAGGCAGGAGGATGGAGACCTGCCTGTGCAGCCTGGAGGTGGCATGGAGTCACAACTAATGCACTTCCCATGTCTGATTAATAATTTCATGTTAGGAAAATGTCACTGGCCCCGCTGCTCTGAATTAAACTTCTGTCAGGGCAGGGCTCACAGGGACCCAGTGTGGGGGCAATGGATGCAGCCAAGAACATTGTTGGAGTCTGTCCTTTCCCCATGTGCCTGGCTTGGGAGCACCCCCTGGAGCATGGTGCCGTCAAGCGATGCCCAGGGGGGAAGCTCCACTTTTTAGAAAATTACCTCTCTGGTGCCCCAACTAATAAGAGGGAGAAAATTACCTCTCTGGTGCACCCCTCTGGTGCCCTTCTCTGGTGCTCCACTTTTTAGAAAATTACCTCTCCAGTGCTCCACTTTTTAGAAAATGACCCCTCTGGTGCCCCAACTAAGTCTCTACAGCAGGGAGGTGTGTGTGGCTGGCTGGCTGGCTGGATGGATGGACACATGAATGGGGTGGATGGATGTGTGAGTGGGTGGAAGGAAGGAAGAAGGGAAGGAAGGATGGAGGTGAAGGAGCCACAGCCTTGGCTCTGCAAAGCCTGAAGGCAACACCAAGCTGGTCACTTGCTCCCACCAGGCACTTTCTGTGATTTGAACAATGTTGGAGCTCTATTTAGGGAAGAGCTCAGTCAGATGCAGACCTGTCTCTGGCTTGGCCATGCTGGCGGCAGCGCTGACTTGGTTCACTGGTTAATGTTCCATTACCAGACAACATGCCTCCGTCATTTATTAATGTTTCATTAGTGTTAAAAACATCTGGTAATTAATTATGCACTAATTATGGATTCACAGTGCTAAAAGCTGGGGTAATCTACCATAGCAGATGGCTCTTTGGGGCAGGGGGAAGGGACAGCTCTTAGCAGAGATGAAAATGTCAGGCCCAGCCCTTGCTAGGGGGAATCATCCCAGACAGACAGATCACCTTCATCTCCTCCCAGGATTTCCATGGCTGGTCCAGAGGCTTGCTGTCTCAGGTTATTAAGCAGAAGAAACCTGTCCCTCTCAAGCTCTTTCAGGGACCAAGGGAGTGGTGCTTCCCCTGCTCAGGGCAGCTGTGTGAGAAGCCATCTGAGAGCAGTGGCTTTCACGCAGAGCCCCAGGCATCATCCAGCACCTGGAGCTGGTACTCGGCTTTCTGCCAGCTCTGGGATGCTGTTTGTCAGCCCTTCCGTGGTTCCTGGCCACGTTAAGCAGCAGTCTATAAAGCAAGGGGTGTCGTAAAAGCCCACTCATTAAGTGCCCCAGGAATATTATGTACAGATGTGCAGAGATGTTTCAAACTGGAGAAGGTCCCAGGGGAGCATCCCTGCCAAGCAGAAAATCCATCCACTTAGCAGTATAAATCCATACAGGAAGAAAGAGGGAATTACAATGCTCAGAGAAACCTGTGCATCACATAACCTGAAATCCAATACATCACCCGGGTGCAATGGGTCCCTGCATCTTCCCAGCACATATGTGGCAGTAAATCCCACCTTAGGTGTTGTTTTTGGGCTGTTGCTGATGTGAGAGCAGCCTTGCACGGAGCTCCCCAAGCTCTGCAAGAGGGATCAGAAGTGTGACTGGAAAGCAGGAGCTATTTCCTGGAGACTTGAAGCCTTGGAGGAAGCAGGAACTCCCCATGCTTGAGCAAGGGGCTGAGCAGTGGAAAGGGTCTGAATGCACCTCCTGCATTCTTTCCTTAAGTGGGTGCTAGCAGAGACCTCATTCTCCTTGATCCAACAGTCAGAAAATCTGCCTGCTCCCATACCAGCCTCCCATCCAGAGCCTGGATCTGCCAGGGGACAAAAACCAGTTTATTTATCCCAAATCAGGCTGACAGGAATGTGTTGTGCCGCCTGTGGTGGGGTGGAGGAAGGAGGAGCAGTGGGTGCTGTGTTGTGTGTTTCAGCTCTGGCAGAGCGTCAGTCTGGCACAGTCACAGGTGAGAAAGGGGAATGAAAGCAGGCTCAGCTGTTGAGAAAGCACACCCATAGCTGCACTGCTGACCCGAGCTGGGAGCTTGCTGTGCTGGGTGGAGATTCCAGGTGGGATCTTATGAGCCAGTTGGCAGAGGAGAGCTGCTGCATATTTGCACAGTGGAAGATCTGGTCTTCCAGGGACAGGGACCCTCCTCCATCACAACAAATGGGAGAATGTCAGGTGAGGTGAAAGCAGCAGGAGCTGGTGGAAAGGCAGTCCCTGGGATGAAAGCATGAGGAGCAGCATCTGTGAGGGGTGAGACTGTAAACAGAGTCAGCTTGACTTGGAGAAGCCCAGACTCTCAACTTGCAGTAGTGTCAAGTCCAGCAAACACAAGAGCCCAGCCCAAAGCACAGGTATTAATTCAGAAGAAGCTGATGTCTCCTGTACAGAGCTTATGTCTCCTGTACACTGGATGCCTCTGGCAGATTATAGCCTTCCTCCCAGGGATTTCTTCCCCAGTGGTTAGGGGGGTAGCTCAGACAACAAGATCCCACCGTGAGGAAAG